TTTCTGAAAATAAGTTTGAGACCGATCGGACAAACTTTAAAACTTCGCCCTAAAAACCTTGGAGCCGCATATTCCATCGAAACGGCCTGCATTTTACGATAAGTGCGAAACACGTCTAAAACTAATTTATCTGAAAGATCGTTTCAAATGAGCTTACACTCGAAACTTCGCTCGTTCAACCCTTGTCTCGCATTTACCAGCCAAGTCGGTTGGATTTCGCGAAAGCTCTGTGAAACACATCTTAAATATATTTTCATAAAGATCATTTAAAGTGATTTTGAAGCCAATCGAAGACTTAAAAATTCGCTTAAAAAATGTTTAATTCGCATTTTCGACAATAACGTCCCAAACGAATTTTCATAAAGATTCTGAGAAATGAGATTCAATCCAAAACTTCACTCACCAAATCTCTTACACCCATTTCCACCAAGCAGCGATGGACTTTCCAAAATATTGTGAAACATCCCTTAAATCAATTTTGAACAAAGAGCTTTAATAATGCGTTTAAGGCCGATCGAATGTCAAACTAAAAATATCATAAAATCAAACATTTTTCGCAATTTTTTCCACATTCGCGGCTGAAAATTCCCAAGACTGTAAACACAAGTTTCAAGATGATACGGAAAGATTTAAAAGCACAAAACGTTTCACGGGCAAGGCCGGGCAATAATCGCTAGTATATATATAAACATATATATGATACAACTGGTCGTTATCTATTTAAAACTTATTTTGATAATTTCAGGGTAATGATAGCGAGGTGCAAGGCGATGTCAAAGGGACGTCGCGATTCAGTCAGTGGTTTGCATCCAAGGAGCCAGCAAATACAGCCAACGATCAGCTTTACTTTGGACACTCTTCTACGCCAGATACGCAAGGTAAGCAATTATGAATTTACATACAGAGTGGCTTTTATCAGAAAAAACCTAGTTAAGCACTGTCCCCATTTTATGTAATGTTAAACAATTCAGAAGTCTCTTGCTGTTCGTACGTCTCTACGTGTGACTGTCCACAAAATTTAGCAGGTGTCCAAACCTAGTTAAGCACTGTCCCCATTTTATGTGATTATGAACAATTCAGAAGTCTCTTGCTGTTCGTACGTCTCTACGTGTGACTGTCCCCAAAATGCCTATGGGCCTTCATTCGTAACTTAACATTTTTTAGACTGTCTTTAGCTTTTAACACACTGTGCTTAGAGTCGGTTACATGCGATTCTTGTTGCTATACTTGGTTCATGGCGTGAAGACTATATTGGCTTCGACCGAAAAATCAAACCCCAAGAAGGAGTCAAAACTATGGCAATCACGCCCACGTTCATCACCCAACGAATAGCAAAAATCGCCTTTTCATAATTTAAAAGTCACTTTACGGTTAGTCGCAGTGACCAAGTCTCTTTTTCGAATATTTAAATCAGTACATACACTGTGAACCTTGTATTGCGTATTTGGTCTTTCTGTTGCGGGCAGTATATATATCGGAATCGGCCTAATCGGACCACTTTTTCATATAGCTGCCATATAGGAAGGGTCGGTCGAAAATTAAACAACTCGGCTTTTATAAGTTTGACTTTGTTCTTTACATTAACAATTCATCGGACAATATAACATTTATTTATATATACCAAGCATGAGATTTCCTATCTCCACTATGAATCTCATATATATGCAAAATCTTATCAACATCGGATTACTATGTCTTATAGCTGCCATAGGAAAGATTAATCGAAAAATGTGTTTTTAACATATATGGAAAAATTGTATTGTTTTTCAAGATATTTTCATCAAGCTCAGCATTTGCGAGCTGCACATATTTCCTTACTTTCATGCTTAATTTTTGTATTCTTAATTTTTAGAAATTCCTAGTGTGAAAGATTTGGAAGCACAAATGAGAAAAGTTGATTTGCGTCCGGAAAACGATATAATAAACGCAACGTCAAATGCTGCACACCCAGCAATTCACACAGAACAAAGAGACAAAGTTGTTACCAAGGACACCGAAGCTTTTAAAAGACTTTTGCAGCAATTGGGCTCCCAGAACATATCGCATCCAGGCACTGAGTCGTCGTATCCTATAAATGCAAATGTTTCGGCCGTTCGTAGCGGACAAAGTTCTAATACTCAAGACCGCCACCAGCACATTATCCGAGTTCAGGACTCCCAAATTAAAGATGATGATCTGCAACTATATCAGCAGCGTGCCAAAAAAATGGATGCTGCGTCACAACAAAGGCACCTTGAAATGATTACCCAAAATCAATTGCATCCCGTTTTGACGCCGGGTGTCCATGATTCAAACATATCTGGGCTCTTACCTATGCAAGCACATAAACGTATGGAGATTCAACAATTGCTGCAAGGTATGTCATTTATAAGTAACTTCTGAAAGGATTTATTTTTTTTATTAAAAAAAAGGGATATTTAATATGACTTGTGCTCTGATTCTGTAAAAAATAAAAAAAAAATTTTTCTTGAATTTCAGGAGTTGTTCGAGGAGATGTTTCCATTGAATTTTTAAATAAGGAACTGAATAATCCCAACACAACGCATCAGTCTAGGGAGGTTATTGCAGCTGTACTTCATGAATGTTCCAATTCCGGGCGAAATGCTGTACAACATTTACCTTATTCGAATGACATACATCCCCATAATCTCGTGAAAAATCATCAACTCTTTAACAAAAATATGGGCCCCGAAGGTACGCTGTCTGAGTTTATTATATATATTTATTTGCTTTGCAAAAATATGTTAATTATAAACATGCTTTAATGCCTTTTAGATGTATTTTCGCAAAACACTCCGAGCCAAGGCATAAACCAACACCAAAGGCATAGTAATTCGCCGACACCTTTGGCATTTACTCCAACATCTGTTTTAAGAAAAATGACTGCTGATAAAGAATCAACATCCGCGCTCAATAGCAGTGCCAACAACCAGCAGTTTCACCAATATCAATTATCCACGCACCATCCAAAACCGCCTGTACTCAATATGATGAACGAGTCACCGGTAATGTCTGCAATTAACCAACTGCAACCTAGAATGATTTTGGGTGGAAACTATGCCATGCAGCATCAATTGAATGCCAACAGCCCACAAATTTCTCCAAAATTACCCCCACAGATGACTCAATCGCGAAATCAACAAAATAAATGGCCTCCTGGAAACATGCAAGCAACACATGCATCTAAGTCTTTTGGTAATATGCCTCACATTACAACACAATCTCTCTTTCTTATACGCACGTACTCGTAGACATATTGTTTACTTAAAAACCAACATACCATAACGTGTCTTATCTCTATTCGTTTGTCTGAAAGGAATTACAAAATTGAATGTGTTAAAGTGACTGCAATTTAGATGTGTTTTACCATTATAATTCGTTTATTGATGTTTTTGATTGAATTAATAAACTGACTTTTAAATTTCTAGGTCGTCCGATTCTGAAAGGAACATTAAACTCTAGTTCCCAACAAATGCCTCCGCTAGCATTTTTATTAAATAATGACATGCAACAAATGCATCAGCAAAAACTGAAGTCCATGCAACCAACGGAAATAATAAATAATGAAATTATTCACGTTGGACCTGGACCCCCACCACCACCACATCAGAATGTTCCATATGCCGATGGCATCTCCCAGATGCAGCAACATCATTATATACAACAGCAACAGCAACGATCACAGCCGCCCAGACATCGATTATTGCATGGAGATATGCACCGACAAACTAATATACCAATGCAGACACTCCCAATGGCGGGTAATTAGGAACTAATATTTAAAAAAAAGCAAAATACATTCATATTTGTTTTCTTTGACTACATCTAGGTGTCCCCGAAGGCTCCGAGTCTGCAAATTTAATAAAAAACAATAGTCTCGGTCCCATGAACTACCACAGAGATGAACGTTTGTCGCCTACAACAAATCAATTAGCCCAATGGTTCTCCCCAGAATTGCTTGCCAGAGCATCAGCTGGTAAATTGCCTCTTTTAAATATGAACCAGGCGCTCAGCTTGGAAGAATTCGAACGTAGCATGCAACATTCCTCAGCCACAGTGCTCAATTAAGACTAAGAATAAATCTACTTTGAAAGAGACTTAAATGAAACTAAATAAAATTAGTTGAAATGATTGCTGTATTATTAAATAAAAGTTTTGTCTGTAGTTTCTTTAAAAAGATTTAAAGACCGACCTGTTCATCTGTGCATAGTTGCAAGGCTTTACTGTACACTCTAATAGATTCGTAAAGCATTAAACACACTTGAACTAAGAATATTAAAACTAATCACTAATCGTAGATTGTATTGTAAAAAAAAAACAAACAAACAAACAATTCTTCTGTATATACTGCAACAAAAATTTAATAATAAAGTAAAACATTTTAAAATTGTTCAGTTTCCGACTAAGAGATACACCAACTACCAAGTTTTCAAATCTTCATCTGCACGCGAACCCTAAGAGCTGGGAACCCGAATACATTAAGTAATGTAATAAAGAGGTAGGATACCAGTTGTTTTTCTTTTTACTTATCGTTTGATCTCGTCGAAACTAATTTTTTAAGGATTATGTGAAATTTTAATTAAAGACGTGTTTGAAAATTTTTCCAAAATTTCCCACAGTTAAGAAACTAAGATGGTAAATAGGGGGAATAACCTCTAGTCTATTATAAAAGTGAGTTATACCTTTTGTACTCCCAATACTTTGTATGGCATATTCTGCGTTTATATATTCTATATTAGTTCTCTCTCTAAGTCTTTTAGATTTTTAAATCTATCTCTCTTCTAAGTTAAAAAAAAAATTTTTTATTTAAGGCATTCCAGAACACTGCAAATGATCCAAACAGTAATTCCCATTAATATATGATAACTGAATTGGAGGGAAAAATCATTGCAAAAATAAGTATTTGGACACAAGAAAATCTATTGAGCTAAGTACTATTTGTTTTTATTTTTTTCCGAACCCCTTGTAGGATTCTTAAGTACTAAATATACTTAGTTACATTCTCATTTTAGTTATGATAGTTGGTTCAAATAATGCGATTTGAGTTTTTCCTTGGGAATAAATAAAGTGTTGATTATGAAACGCAGTTCAATTCAATACACACAAGTACATATTTTGAACATTCATAACTAATTTTTGTTTGTCCGTGCATTTATCTTATTCTTCATTCAAATTGTGCTCTCCATATGTATAAGTTTAAACATGTTTATAGGTGGGATAATCTGCGACTAATCTTACGTACACTAAACATACTAGTTGAGCGACAAGAACTTACACACCTGGATATGTACACATATCCATATACATACTGACGTATAGCGTGCAATAGAAACGTAGTTAATGCTTTAATTAGCATTGATATACGGAAAAGTATTTGCAAAGAACTAGTCAATTTCGACTTCTTACTATTAGGCGTTTCTCTAAATTGTCTTCAAAACAATTCTATTATACTTAAAATCTCTTGATCTCATTTAACTTTAAATTGTTTTATGTGCGAAACTTTAAATATTTCCTTTAGAATATGTTTGGCATTGAACTTTCGTTTAAGATTTTCTCAATTTTAAAACTGAAGGCTGTCGCTTATATTTTTAGTAATGTGCCAATGAACTTTTTGTTAAGATGAAAGTTAGTTAAAAGCCTCGTGAATCTTTTGGGTACACAACATTCAATGTACTGTAAAATATTATAATGATTTTATCCGAATATCAAAGTCCATTACAAAAGTTAATGATTGTCCTAACGAACAAATGAACGAATTTTAAATATGGTAACAGACATTTGCTATGATTGCTTGCTTTTTCAATTCGGAGCAATTGATTCCCGGATGCAAGTAAAATATTATAATTTGCTAATCCTTGAATAACATTAAATGAACACCTTTCAACTCGTTAACCGCCTTTAGAAAATTATGTATAATAGAACTTTGTTTTCTTTTCGCCTTACCACGAGTTATACTTAGATAAACTATCAGCACAGAAAGCACAAGATGTTTGATAATCTAAACACTAAGGTAATATACTTGTGTTGTTTAATATAAATGTTACAATTCGTTCGAACGAAAGACTTACGGCCACCTTTTAGTTGACTTAATTCAAACAATCCTTACAATAATTTGTTTTCTTTTTTTGGAGAAAGTTAACAACTTGATTTTTCGCAGACTATATTCTAAATTCAGTAAGCGTTCTGTGTAAAATTAAAGCAACTACTTATGTAAGAAACGCAGACATTTCAATCGCAACAAAATCTGTTTATACATGCTCGTAGTATGTGGCGAGTACTCGTAGTATGTGGAGAGTACTCGTAGTATGTGGAGAGTACTCATAGTACGAAATGTCAATCTTGGGCGCACTTTGCGACTTATCTAATCGTTGATGCCAATGCAATCGCACTTGTCAGATGTCGGAGCACCATTGACGCATTCTTCGCTCCTATGAATAACCGCAGTTTGATTTTGATCTAGCTCAGAGCATGGACTGTTTTGGCAATCGCTTTGAGACTGTCGCTCAGGTCCAGCTTTAGCAGCGCCGACGCCAACGCCAATGCCTGCGTCTGCGTCTGCAGCATTCAATCCAATGGGTGTGCGGCCATATCCGGAACTTGTAGGCACTCCCGGAGCTCCTCCAGTTGCGGCAGAACGTCTGTACACTGTGCTATTCATTGTCAGCTTGCGCACATTCTTGTCAGGATGGAAAACCAATATATACACCTTCGGAGAGTAAAGACAGACGAGGGCCACGGATGCACTTAAGCTGATGGAAATGCACAATGTAGTTATTTGGATCTGTACAAGAAATACATTGAATTCATTAATTATTATTGCTTCATAGCAGTCGCTGTCGAAATTTAGGGAAAGTCCAAATTTGTGGCAGTCACTTTTATAAATAATAAATCAATTATTTAACGAAAATAGTTAGCACAGGATATGGTTTCTAGGTTTATGTTTTCTTATTCAATAAATAAAACTCTTGAAAAACAAAATAATATTGTTGTGCAAAAACAATTGATTCTAATAAGTTTAGTTTCAACCAAAGACGATATAAACACTAAGATGAGTAACGCCCATACATTTGACTGCGACGCCTGGCTTCTCATCTGGCTTTTCCCACTTCACACGACACGCCAGCCGACTGGCTGTTCGCTCTCCAAAAGCCAGACGAACAAATGCCGAAGTCGCAACTTGTTGATGCTGACACGAACGACGAAGTTAGTCGCCAGCCTGTCTTCGGCAAAGCTGGTCGATTGATGGTGCTCTGCGTCGATTCGTTCGGACCTCATAGAGCCAAAGCTGAGAGTACATTCTATTTTTAGCTATTTCGCTCTTTCGTCTGTGAGAGCGCAATGATACTGATTTCGTTTTCGTTCTCAAATTTTTAAAAAAGCAAGCGGCGTTACTCATCTTTGTGTTTATATTGTCTTTGGTTCAACCAATTAAGAACGTAAGCATTTTTTAGTTCAAGTTTTAAATTGAAAGTGAAATAAATTTTTTTTAGTGTTATTGGAAGTATTTTATAGAGCTTACCTCGTAGGAGTTGCCAGTACCGAAATAAATTGGTACAAATGCTAGCCAAATGATGCAGGTCGTGTACATTGTGAATCCGATAAACTTGGATTCGTTAAAATTTTCGGGTATTTTGCGGGTTTTTATAGCATAAACCGTACAAATTGTAATGAGTATCATGTTGTATAGCTGAGAGAAAAGAAAGGACATGTCCTGTATCTTGCATTTCAAGATGACTTCGGTGCGGTCTGGGTAGTAAAATCGAGTTCCCGGCGGCTCCACAATCATCCAAATCATCGTAATCAAAACTTGTATTGCTAAACAATTGGTAGAAACAAAACAAAAACGTAGTTATTAAATATTTTTAGAGCCATAAGATCAGCATCTGTTTTGGCGCAGCATTTAATAATTTTCTATTAATTCATCTAACATGAGCTCTACAAATATTACTTTGAGATTTCTCAACATGCAAACATGTGTAACTATTTATGGATCATAAAATAATGTACGATCGCTTCCCTGAAAGACGATCGGATACTCAATCGATTTAACCAAAAACCGATAGACTCGATGATTTTCGATTATCGATAACTTAGGGATACCCTCTAACTTAGGGATACCCTACACTTTTGTCGATCTTGTGTTTATTGTATATTTCCCTAATTTTATAAAATTAAATTTAAGGACCTTTTTCTCTAAATATTAAAAACATGGACATTTACCAAAGTTAAATTTTTTTCATTCTATTTTTTTTTTGAGTGTAAGTAAAATACAAAAAATCCTTGTCGATCTTGTGTCTACAGACTTGAAATTTTGTTTCCGATAATAACTCGTTCGGATTCCAAGCAATCGATAAGAATCGATATAGAAATTTTTTTTTTGGAGCAAATCTCTGGGGTTTTGAGATCTTGAGTAACGGTTCTTAAGAAACAGGATTTGATATTACTTCGAAACGGGGCAAGTTGCTGGAGATTGGAACAAACTCATACTGTGCGAACTCTCGGAGGATTTACGTTCAAAATTTGATGTTTCTAGGGTACGAGGTTACGAGGTAACGAGGCGTTCAGACAGACGAATCGTCGGGATAGAACGAATCGTCAAATTTCGATTAGCTCGAGCCTAATTATGCTTTTGTTGTTCGAGTGTTCGAAAGATGGTTGATGTAAAAGTGAAGGGAAATAAATTGTTCGAATACGTACCGATCAAGGAGGTCGTGATCACCACTTGGGACTGAGGGCTGATGTATTTAAGGCGCTGCGCCGACTTGGATGCCGAGTGGAAAATTCGAGATATGCGATTTGTTTTCGTTAGCAGAGCACTGTAAATGATAGAGAAGCCAACGCCGATGCCGAACCTTTGCAGAACACAAGAGCCAATAGTCGGCTTCGCGATCAGGGCAAATGTGTTGCAATAGCAGACGAGTATGCCAAAGAGTAGAGTGTAGCTGAGCTCACGGCCGGATGCCCGCACGAGGGGCGTATCGTGATTTTTTGCGAATAACACAATGACAATGATCGTCATCGTAATACCGAATATTGCAATTGCCAATGGAACAAGGGCAAACAGCGAGTTCCAGCGCATGTACTGTATGTTGAGGGCAAAACATGACAGCTTGTCCGGATACGGCCAAAGACCCGGGCCACAGTCCTTGCAGGTCAACTCATCGTAGACGTATTCGTAGGGCTCACAGCTGTCGCAGATCCAGCAACAAGTGTCCCCCTGTTAACGAGAAAGAGAGTCAGCAATTGAGCAGGTGAGTTGCAGGTGAGTTTTACTACCTGTTGTTTTTTTATCATCCCAGCCTCACACGGCAAGGAGCATGCTGAGGTTGGCATCTCGTTTTCCTTGTTCCACACAACTGTATCCAAATTAATTTCCAGGTTATTGAACCATTTACCGATCACCTACATAGACGTACGTACAGTTGAGAAAAGAACCAAAAGTATCTTCATTTTTTAAATATTTCCCCCATTTTATACCATTATATATATATAGGATTTATATTATAGTGTCATTTTCTATAAACATGAGAATTTCCTTTTAAAAATAATAACATTTTCTGAAGTTAAATTTAAATGAAATTTAAATGGGATTTTTTAATTTTTTTGAGTGTAAGTAATATAAAAAAATCCTTGTCGATCTTGTTTGATTAAATTGTGAAAAGTTCAAATGGTCCGCCTAAATTTAGAAACTTACAACTTGGGATCTTTTTCTATAAACATGAGAATTTCCTATTAAAAATAAAAACATTTTCTGAAGTTAAATTTCAAGGGGATTTTTGAATTTTTTTTAGTGTAAGTAATATACAAAATATTCCTTGTCGATCGTGAGTTTATTATTAAGTTTGGTTAATTTGTAAAAAGTATTATAATATTGTTAAGTTTGGTTAATTTGTAAAAAGTATTATAATATTGTCACGAAATTAATATTTACTGGTATCTCTCATCATATAGTACTTAAAATAAAATCATATTTTTGCTCTGTCTTTATTAACAGAGAGTCAATCTGTCTGTCGCTCAGCTAAAATTTGAATAGTTCCTTTTTTAAAAACAGATTGGATCACTTTATCGTATAAGCCATATCTGCCATTAACTCTGGATGCAATGCTTAGATTTATAATGGGAAATTTGCTTGATTTTCATAACCTCTTAAATCTAAATTCGGCTATTCAGCAAGGAACGGGTGAAATTTTAAATAGTAGTGGCAACTCTTTTTATTGATTTTCATATTTCAACATTAAATTTGGCCACTTTTTTGGAGTAGTTGGCAACACTGGTGCCAATATGCGCTTCATTAGGAACATTCCTACCCAAAAAGCGGGCAGATTTTAAATAAAAATAATAATAATGTAAAAACAAAATAAAAATTTAGGCAGACTTTAAATGAAATTAATAATAATTTAAAAAATTAAGCTTCGTATTTCAATACGACAACGGACAACGGTATCTTGTCGTTTTTTGGTTTAACTAAAATATAATTACCTTATACTGATATCCGGAGGAGTTGTCCAGACGTTGATAGTTCAAAATGTCGTACCTCGCCAAGCCATCGCCCTGACGATCGAACTTCACCTCGCTGCCGGCCAAATCTTGGGAGAGTCAAAGGTTAATTCAAAATAGTCGTATAAGAAGAATCGAGTATATCAAATGGGGACCTTTAAATTCTGTACTGTACCTACAAATGACACATTCAACAGGTAATTGTTGTAGAAGTCCTTTCCATCATAGTTGGCCATATTGGGACACGCCTGCGAGTGGCTGTCGACGGGCTTGCGATACCACACGGACTCGCTATGCCGATGTTGTGGTCCCGGGTTCTGATCATTTTGGGTGCACAGATCGTTGTGCAAATTATGAAGTGCATGGGCGAAGGCGTACACAGCGTCCACTACGAATTGCGTCTTCGATTCTTGCTCGTATCTTGATCAAGATAAAAATGTCTACATTATTTTATGGCTCCACAACAGAAAGTGGTGATTAGAACCAATAATGGGAAACGATTTGGAGCCGAGCCGGCTCGAACCCAGAATTCCAATTTTCATAGTTCTTTTATGAACCGAGCCTTCAACCAAACCACTCGCTCCAAAAACAGACGAACCGAACCATATTCAACTTTTGAGGGGCCAAGCATTTGATTTACTATCCCAATTTTCGTTTCAAAACGGGGAACGGGATGCAAATCGCTTGGGACCTAAGGATATTAAATATGTGCAGGATTGATGGGATTATTGCATGATCCCGGAATTACCAAAATTTAAATAGATTATATAGAATTAATATTGATAGCATATAAATGTGACGCTTTGAAAGAATCCAAATTGTGGCCGGGTTTTGGAGCAGCGAAACATATTTTTTTAAAATTTTCGGTTCTGGATAACAACAAATGTCTGTTGCGGGCGAGACGGTATTGAATTTATTGTCCCGTTGACCATCTCGAAAAGAGATCACATTTAGCCCCCATTTTTATACCCTGAACCCATTAAAAATGGGTAAACTGGGCGGGCAGAAGGAAACATATAAATTATATATATTCTTTATCAGCATCAACAGCCCAGTCGATCTGTCCGTCTGTCCGTCCCTCCGTCCGGGTTCAGGGTATAAAAATCGACGGTTGTATTATTTGGAGAATATATGACAAGCCAAGGTTTGAACCCAAGCATGGTTCTATATGAAAAAATCGACAGTTGTATTATTTTGAGAATATAGGATAAGCCAAGGTTTGAGCCCAAGCCTGGTTCTATATGAAAAAATCGACGATTGTATTATTTGGAGAATATAGGATAAGCCAAGGTTTGAACCCAAGCCTGGACATGCTCGCGAACTGAAACACCTTGCAGAGTCGTTAACCGGACCCCCGCCCCCCTCCCGGATTAGAACTTACCCGACTTTTTCCGAGAGCCTGAAACTGTCATCGCAGGTAATTTTCGGCTTTTCGTTTTGTGGAAGACTAGCGTCTTGGTCATGTTCATTCATTAACTTGCCATCGTCCGATGCCGTGGATAGAACACAATTAAAGGTATCCTCCCAGTACTCGGCGAACCATGGATTTCGCTTGTTATTGTGTGGCGTCAATTGCATCATATATCGGTCAAAGTCTTCGATTATCTCCGATTGCAGCTCAACCGTAATGGCACCCTCGGCAATGTCCTCCAGTCCTTCCAGCAGCTTCTGCTGCTTGCCCCACCCATCACTGGCCACCCAGTGGAAGGGGTGCGAGAGATTGGCCCGTTTCGCCGCCAGAAGGATGCGACGTGCATCCTCGGCGCGTGTAAACAGAATAACTCCACGAGCGTTTGGCTTCTTTTGGAGCTTGCCAATAATTGAATCAAAGACTTTGTCATCCGCGGCACTTGGCACCTTTTCGGCGGCGGCAATGCAGACATGTCGCTCCGTTGCCTCCTTGTGAAAGGCCTCAATGCCGTATTCACCGTAGGATCCTTCCGAATGAATTGTCGATACGTATGACCAGTTGAAGTTCTTGATGATGTCCACCAAGGCGACAGACTGGAATGTATCTGGCGGCACGGTGCGTGCGAATAGATCAAAGCGCGTCTTGTCCGAGAGAGTCTTTGCCGTGGATGCTGGTGAAATTTGCGGTATGTGAAAGAGGCGTAAGAGATTCGCGACCTGCAGGGATACCGAACTGTACGAGCCGCCGATTACACCAAAAACCGGACCGGATGTCGCATTTTTCCTCAACTGCGGAATGGATGTATCCGAGCACTCGAACACGGACGTGTCCAGGTTGTTCAGCGAGGCGCGCACAAACTGGAGAGACTGATTCAGAGCATAGGTATCCCGAGAGCACGTGTCCAGTATGTGCACGCCTATCGTTATGCCCGGCAATATGTTTGTGTCGTTGTTAACACGGTCAATGGCATAGAGCATGGCCTCCAGGCGCTGAACACCCCGGTTGTAGACCTTGGGTCCGCATGGCGGTGCACCTTCGCCCTTCTCATGAACCGGAAAAAGTCCGCCAAGTATTATGTCACCCGGCAAGGACACGGACACCGTGTCGTGCGCCTGCGACGATCCGGCGCCTGCCAATTGTGGTATCAAGCTCCAGCAAGTGGCCACCAGGACCATAAGCCATAAGCCAACTGGACTGTTAATGTCATCTGCATTCCTTTTGAACACTTCCCACATATTGGTTAATAGTTTAATAGTTCTACGAATCATTTAATAAACATATTCATATGGATTTTTTTTGCAATGCTCTTTAGTTCGTGATACAAAAGCGGCCACGTCCATTGTCGTTCCCAAACATCTGAAAGAAAAGTCAATATATATCACATCTCTATATATACTAGCGGGTATTCACCGGCTATGCCCGTGTCGAGCTCTGTGCTCAAAATTTTACATATAGGTTTTTTTTTTGCTATTTCGGGCATTCGCAAAGATTCATTAGAAAATTCATTGGAGGCATGTTTTAAACTTTTCACAAAATGCGCTATTTCTCAATGAAAAGGCGGGCCAAAGATTTTTTGGCCCAAGTCTTAAGTTTCGTTCGATCGGTCTTAAATTCACTTCATAATTCACAATTTGGAAATTTCACCCGCAACTGTGGAATGTTAGCGAGAACTTTATTTAAATTCATTTGATACGGACAAGGCCGGGCAATGCAATTTAACATTTAATTATTGCCCGAATAATAATTATTTAAAAAAAAAAAGTTTAATAAAGATAAGTATTTAATAAAATTGAGTTTGAAGCTCATGAAATTAAGACTCATAAGTTGGAATCCAAAAAGCGGGCCGATTTTAAATAATAATAATAATAATGTTAAAAAAATAAATGTTCTCAAAAAGCTTTGAAAATGATTTTGAAACTTATCGGACGGTAAACAAACAACTTTCATACAAACGTTTTGCGCCAATTTACCACTATTACGGGTGAATTTCCCAAATCGCTGAAACCCGTATTCATTATATTCTTTTGTAGATCTTTGCAAATAAGTTTCAAGCAAATCGGAAAAAATAAAACTTCACCCAACAACTTTTTTAATCGCATTTCGACCAAAGAAGTTTGTATTCTGCAAAAAGTGAGAAACACGTCTCAAATGAATTTTCATATAGATCTTTGGAAATTCATTTGAGCGCGAAACGTCACCCACCAGATCTTTGACCTCCATTTCCATTAAGGAGGAATGGATTTTCCTAAAAGTGAAACACCCCTCAAATGAATTTGAACAAAGATCTTTGAAAATACATACAAACGTTTTTCGCGTTTTATCCACACTTGCGGGTGGAATTTCCCGAAACCCCGTCTTAACATGCACCTACATCACATCAAATTGAAGGTAGCTACAGTAAAAATTTCAGCTCAGCCCAGCTCTTACGGTTTGGGCTGTGCGTTGATCACCAGTCAGTCAGTCAGTCAGTCAGTCAGTCATTCAGTCATTCAGTCATTCAGTCATTCAGTCAGTCAGTCAGTCATTCAGTCAGTCAGTCAGCCAGTCATTCAGTCAGTCAGTCAGGACAAACAGTTTTATATATAGAGTTTATAAGTTGGAATCAAATTTTTCCGCCGCAAAGTTAACTTTCATTCATACAACCAATTAGCTGGATTTTCAATTCAAGAGTGGTAGATTTTGATTAAAAATTGCATACAACTAATTTCCGATAAATTTCCACAGTTGCGAGTGGAATTTTCAAAATCCGTTAAGCACGTTTTCAATATGTTTTAAATCTTTAATTTTTTAAAAAATATGCATTGAATCGAGCGTATAATACTGAAAACTTCGCCCAAAAACCTTTGAGCGCCGCTTTTCATCTAGGATGTGTGCCCTATAAGAATTTTCATAAAGAAATGAGTGGAAGCCTAAAACTTCAGTTCAGGTATTTTCAAGTAGAGCTCTTGCAAATGTGTACAAGAACCTCCATTTAGTATATACCGAATTCCTGTGCCTTGAAACGCATGAATGGTCATCTGTTAAAATTGAATGCTTGTCAATTTGCAGAATTCCTTAAGTTAAGAGGATGCTTGTTTATTTACAGAATCCCTTAAGTTAAGAGAGAGGAAGGGCAAAACGTCACACACAAACACTCGAAAGAGAATAACAGTTGGGGATGCTTTCCACGGCAAATACAAAAACTTTTCAAAGCTTGCACAGAGGCAGAACACGCACACGGTCCCGACTAATGTGTGTGTGTGTGTGTGTGTGTGTACGCGCGCGCGTTTGTGTGTGTGTGTGCTTCGCAAGTAACAATGGCGACCCAGAAAAAGCTTTGATGCAAGAACTTTACCAGAAGTACCAAGGAAGAATGGTTCCACTGATGATGGCAATGCGCACAGAAGCAAAAGCAGCCGCAGCAGCAGCAGCAGACATCGAATACAGTAACACCTACATTTTGAGAAACATATACACCTACATATATACATATATACCATACACTTATTGCATATGTATGTGGAGAAATTCTATTAATTGAATCGGGTCAGGTCAAGGGATTGAAAGAAAAAAATTAAAAACAATCTATATATGTATGTATGTATGAATGTAGGTACAAAAGACTTGTTCGTGCTCTAAGCATAGTTAACATTCAACTATATTTCGATGCTGACATTTTATATACAATATATGCCCCCAACCCGGACCCCGACCCCGACCCCTTCTCTTCTGCTCTTCAGGGCATGGTGGTCCTTATTTACTGTGACGGTTCTGTTCCTGTGTGGGTGTTAAGGTACACATACAAATATATGTACGTGCGTAGAGTTTTGTACACTGACGTAAACCAAGCGCCAACACAAGCACACACACTCACTCGAACCCATATATATATATATATGTATTTGTATGTATGTATGCAAGTGCGGACTATATTCGAAATCAATGTACTATTTGTAAAGTCGAATTGAGGATTAATAATGTGTACTTACCGTAATTAAGCTGGCTTTGATTATTTCATAATTATTATTCCTATATATATAGTTAGATATGTGCGAATATAACAACACATGTAATTAAATTGTTTAAGGTATCTGCTTGCACTCACGTTATTTTTTTTTCCGTTAACACTTATTTTAGCCACTAGCAAAGAGCGCACACACATCTGTCCATAGCATTAACAGTAGATAAACTGATTTGCTCATGATAAGCCCAAACAGTTCTTGTACCAGCAGCAGCAGCAGCACCAGCAGCAGCAGCAGCAGCGACCACGGCAGCAACACAACAACAATGATAAGAGCTGTGCCAGCAGCAGCAGCATCATGGCTAAGAACAACAGTATCAGAAGCAGCACCAACACCAACACCAGCAGCAGCAGCAGCGGCAGCGGCAGCAGCAGCAGCAGCAGCAGCGGCAGCAATAACACCCACAGCAGTCATCTAACTGTTGTCCATCTCTCCTTGAATACTCATTTTCGCCACTGCAGCAGCCGCAATGGATCTCAAAGAGCAAATTTCAACATAAAAACTAGCAGCTAAAACCGAAAAAAAGAACAAAATAAAAAAAAAAAACATGTGTCCGTCAGTAGGTTCGTCCTGCAGCCTGAGTTAAGAGCGGGCAAAAGCTTTCTAAAGTTCACCGCAAGCTTTAGCCTGTCTCTTTGAGTTTCTCGATTTTGCAAGAGAAGTACTTTGACAAAGGAAATACATATGCTTAATTGTTGCTTTATCATTGTGCACAAATATCAAATTGTATGCACATACAAACACGAAATATTGACAAACATAGCAAATATTTATACCATTTATTAACTAGCGGGCAATATCCGGCCTTGCCCGTGGCAAGTTTTCTGTTAAAAATATTAGATGTTAATCTTTTAATGTAAATGTAATTCTGCCCGTCTGGAACTCACTTCTATTCAAAAAAATATGTTTAAGTATCCATTAAAGATCTATAAGCTGGAATCGAAACATAAACTTAAGTTCATTAAACCTTTGAACGGCATTTTCCATCCAAGAGCAAATAAATTTTAACGGAGATCTTTGAACACGATTTTAAACTAAAAGCGAAACTAAATTTCCAAAATTTGTAGGGCTTTAAAAGTAAGTTTAAAGCTGATTAGACAAATCCTGAAACTGCACCTCTTCAACCTTTGACCATTTTCCACCCAGAAGGGGTGTATTTTCCGCAAAGTGTGGAACATTTCTCAATTGAATTTTCGTGAAAATCGTGTCAAATGAGTATATTTCCAAAACTTCGGTCAATTAACCTTTGATCCGCATTTTGCATCCACAAAGTTAATTGAAAATAAAATTAGGCCAATATTTGGCCAATTTACCACAGTTGCGGGTGGAATTTCGAAAATCGTCGAAACACGTATTCATTTAGTTCTGACAAAACTTTAAACTTCGATCCATCTATATTTATAAGTTTGTCCTGATTGACTGTCTAATTGGTTATCATGAGAGCTAAGAAGATATGTGATGAAGGCTTTAGATTTAGGTTAGACGATTTTTAGGTAATTCCAGCTGCAAGTGTGGTGTGTTTTTTTTTTTAGCAATTTTGGTAAATAATAAAAGCTAAAATCACCAAACTTGATATGTAGCTTCTAAAATATCAAGTATCTTTCATTTAATACCTATCGCCTGTTAGAAGAAGAGGGTATTCAGAGTATTCGATCGTCATTGGACTCATTTTCAAAGCTATTTGATCAAATTTATTTTAGAGTGTTTCACATATTCCATTAAATCTGCCTCTCATTGAGTTAAAAATAGTAAGAGTACGTTTATAATTGCCACAGGCAACTAATAACGAAACGATATATCAATCTTTAGGGTCAAATTCAGGAAGTTTTCTTGCAACGCCTTCTGCTCCGAAGATTAATTGCACTCTAAGCCTGGCCTGATCACATCTCCACTTCTATAGCTCCTGCAGAAGAGTTAGATTCTCCTCTCCAGCGAAGATAGGATTTGTGATCAATCCAGTGACAACTAGAAGCTCTGTCATCATCAGAGGTCTTACACAACACTGAACACATATGATCCAGACCCAGTCCCTTAACCCCGTCTCCTTCATGTTGGTTGTCATGTCTTCTCTATCCTATAATAAACAATCTTCCGGACATTCTCCTTTTCAATTGGTGTGTATAATTGGTCGCATTCTTAAACATATGACAATAATAACTATTTCCTAAATTACAACTTCTTCACATAGCATTTTTTCAACATAATATAAATTAATGCAGCACAGGACACAAGTAATACAAATTGTAGATTTGATTTTTTTTTAACATTATTATTTTTATTTAAAATCTGCCCGCTTTTAAGGCAATAATTAAATGTTTTTGGTATAAAACGTTGACAGCAATTGGCCCACGTAAATTTACACGCATATTATATGTATGTTATTTATTATATATGCAGCTCGTAGGCAACGAAATATATTTTCCAAAATTCTTACAATGTAAAGTTGCCTAATCTAGAATCTGGAGGAGGCAAAGTTACAAACCAAAAAGAGATAGTCACGCTCAATCCATCCAGCTATCAACGACCGTTTAATCAATTCCTACTCGATTTCGCACGTTCTCTATAATCTCTTCGTATAAAACTGTTTGTCCTGACTGACCGACTGACTGACTGACCAAACCGTAACAGCTAGGAAGCTGAAATTTTTTACTGTAGTTACCTTAAGTGATGAGGGGGCACCTTAAGGCGGGGTTTCGGGAAATTCCACCCGCAAGTGTGGAAAAAACGCGAAAAACGTTTGTATGTAACTTTTTTGTTTACCATCCGATCGGCCTTAAACTCATTTTCAAAGATCTTTGTTCAAATTCTTTTGAGGGGTGTTTCACACTTTTCGAAAAATGCATTCCTCCTTGGTGGATATGGGGGTCAAAGAGATTTGGTGAGTGACGTTTCGCGCTCAAATTAATTTCCAAAGATCTATATGAAAATTCATTTGAGACGTCTTTCACATTTTTCGCAAAATCCAAAATAACTCAAAGATTTTATTGGTGAAGTTTTAATTTTTTTCCGATTGGCTTCAAACTTATTTGCAAAGCTCCTCATAAGAATTTGATTAAAACGTGTTTCAGCGATTTGGGAAATTCCACCCGCAACAGTGGTAAATTGGCGGCAATCGTTTGAATGAAATTCGCTTGTTGACCATCCGATCATTTTCAAAATCATGTTCAAAGCTTTTTGAGAACATTTACTCTACATGTGCCACGGGCAAGGCCGAGATGGATATACCCGTTAGTATATATAAATATTATTTCATATACATACATTTTTTAGTGGAACATTTTATTATTTTTTGAAAATATCTTTTACTGTATTAGTAATTACTAATTACTAATTACTTATTACTAATTACTAATTAAATACTAATTACTAATTACTAATTACTAATTACTAATTACTAATTACCAATTTCTAATTACTAATTACTAATTACAAATTACTAAATACTAATTAATTAATTAATTTTAATTACAAATTACTAATTACTAATTATTTAATTAATTTTAATTACTAATTACTAATTACTCATTACTAATTAAGTTAACTTATTTAAAGGGATATCCCTTTCGGAGCCTTTGACCAGGGACACTGGCACAACTGTGGGCTTCGATTTCTTCTTTGCCTGCCTTGTCTCCGGTTTCAGAGACAGTTTCCGGGCCAGCGATTGGGGCTACAAAAGGCAACGTTCGGCACAAACAAAGAATTGACACTCAAAAATTATTGTGGAACTCACCTCTTTTTTTGGACGTGCAGACGTTTTACAATAGTTGGACTCCTTGTTATGGTTGCGACTGCGGCAACTGAACCGGCAGTGCCGGGGTTGGCGACGCTAGGAGACGGAGTAGCGCGATGCAGGCGATTCTGAATATACGATACGCTGAAGAATTTTTGTATTTAATTAAATTAGTTTCATTTGGCTAAGTTGTTTCTTCTGCTCCAGCATCGCTTCGTTTGCCGCCCGGATAGTAGAAACATATCTTTGGCTGGATTACTTTATCTTCCGACATGGTTGTGCGAGCAAGAAGATCCTCGTTAGCTGCTGACTCATAGTTTTTGGCCTTTTCATCTGTTGGATCGTTTTCTTAGTGGCTGTATGTGGATCTGGAGGGGATTGAACATTTGCCGCAAGTGCAATAAGTAACAGGACGAGAGGTCACCCGCATCTTTTGCTAGCTCTTCACCTAGGTTCATGCAAACTAAAATTTCTAGCCTGGCTTCCCATCTGGCTTTTACGACTTCAAACGAGCATGTCGTTGCCGACTGCTGTTCGTTCAGACGAACGAATGCCTAACAGTGTTGCCAATTCAGATTTTTTCCGTCAGATCTGGCTTTTTTTTGAAAGTCTGATTGCGGGAAAAAAAATGAAATCAACGGGCAGCGGGAATTCTGTCTTTTTAAAAATGAGCTAAAATTGTTTTTCGCATTTTTTTTTAAATGGTTTAATATTAATAATAATTTGCTTAAACTTTAAATGAGCGAAGTTGGCATCATTATTGAAAGGAAAGCGCGAAGTTGACATGCTGGTATAACTATCGATATTAGTTTAAAATTGCTTATTGCGGTGAATTTCACAACTTAATACACTTTTGACTTGTAAAATGTCGAAAGCTGTTTATGAGCAAAAAGCTGCAGGCTGTCGAGTTTAGAAGCTGGCTCCGCACGGATGTTACTGACGATACGCTGACTTATTGCAGCTATTGCAAAAGCAATCGGCCAAGTTATCCGATTTAAAAGCATATGTAGCCACAAAAAAACATTTAAGTATGGTTGGTGGACATACGCAAAAAAAACAAAGTAGATTTTGCACATGTGCCAGTTAAAATAGTAGAGCAATTTTAAATTTGATGGCAGCAGCACGGCTAGCCGATTAAAAATGTATCGAACCAAATGCACAAATAAGTATAATTGAAAATGTTCGAGCCCCTCATTTCTATGAGAGTTAAATTTCATTATAAAACGTTTTGAATTTATTTAATACTATATTACTTTTATTGAAAATGTCAAACAAAAACACCTTTAAAATTTCAGCTTTTTGTTCAGCTTTTTTGAACAACATTTGACGGTTTTGCGCCTTTTTTTTTAAAGCAGATCTAGCTTTTTTGGTTACTCAATAAATGACAACACTGCTGCCGACTGCTCTTCGTTCAGACGAACAAATGCCGAAGTCGCGGCTGGCCGATGCGCTGACACGAGCAGCGAAGTTAGTCGCCAGCCTGCCTTCAGCGAAGCTGGTCGCTGGTGCTTTGCGTCGCTTTGTTTTCGAAGTATGTACATACATACATATATATGTATGTACATTGAGCGTACAAGCTTTAAACTTACG